ATTCTCAGATTGAGGTGAAGCTGAGAAATACTGAACTAAAGTGACAAACAGTAGTATATGTTTTTAAAAGAGTAAAACCTCTACAATCTTTCTAAAATATAATTAAAGGTTATAAAATTATCAAGGCTATAAATAGAGTGAAAAATGATCCTGTTTACAAAATTATACCATACTACAATGGGGTTCACCTGCTCCAAGTTCAAAGGAAATGGTTTTTAAAGACCCGAATAAAACCAAAGGTTAGTTTTATAGAGTGGTTAGTAAATGTATATGATTCGTTACCCAAGACATCCTGCAAGGTTAAGATAAATACACTCAGAAAAATTTACACAAATTCCAAGATAACAGACCCACACTGAGTTATAAGGAAAGCAAATATACGCGAAGTATATAATCAGTGTTGTAAGGCTGACAGTGAAGGCAACGATTCACTCCTATGAAATGTCCCTTAGCGCCACCATCACACCTGGAATATTAGACTGCCTGGTCCAGGATGGTACTTACATGCTCTAGCCTTAAAAGAGTTCACAACTAAAGACGATGCTTTTCTTTGGAGACAAGGACATAAAAAAGACTGAAAATTTAACATCAAGTATTTGCTACCTTTTATTCATTCAGCATTTACTTTGTGTTATGTGCCAGCCTTTGTATTTTAAAACATCTCATTTAACCCTCACAAGGTAGTTTATTATTCTCACCTTATACCTCAGGAAACTAAGATTCTCAAAGGTCAGAATTTGTTTGCCATGTTTGCCATAAAGTAGTAAGTCTTAGAGAAAAGATTTAAAGCAGGTTTATGCCATGTTGTCTCTCACCATAATTGTAAATAATAGTTGTAACACAAAATAAACTGTCATTTTAAGTGCTGTAGTCATCTAAATGCTCAGTAAATCTCAACAGTCCTATGAAGCTACTCAGTCAAAATAATTGATTCGTACATGACTCCTCTTTTCCTCACATTCTATTCTTCAGCACATCCTATTGTTTCTACCCTCAAAAATGTGTTCAGAATCCATTTTGATACTTTGAATATGTATCAAAATATATATTCACCTACCTCATCACTACCACCTAAGTTCATTTCTAGCCCGGGTTATTAAAATAGCCCCCAACCTAGGCTCCCTGAGTCTTTTACTCTTGTCTTCCCCTCTAAGTGTATTCTAAAGCCTTGCAAAAGGTTCCTTTTAAAGATGGTGCTGTTCCTTTGCTCGAAACATTTCAATAGTTGCCCATCCTGCAGAGGTAAAACCTAAGATCCTTACAATGGGCAAGACCCAGTACCTCTGACATTTCTTCTATTCTTCTCCTCCACTCTAGCCACATGTGCCTCATTATTCCTCAAACATTCCAAGCATTCTTCCCCCCACCCCAGCACTGTTCTCTAAGCCTAGAACACTCTTTCCTTACTTTCACCTTTTCAAGTCTTGCTCAAATGACATCTCATCAGTTAAGCCTTTCTTCCGCACTTCACCCTCTCAATCATTTCATATCCCACTTATAACACGTTATCATGGTGCCTGCTACCTTCTAACATTTTATGTATAGGTATGTATGTCTGTCTTTCTCCAGAATTTAAGCTTCATGAAGGAATGATCTATTTTAATCATTCTTGTTTCTCCAGGGCCTATAATAGGAGCTAGCGTAAAGCGGGTGACAGATAAACATTTGTTGAATGAAGATATAAATCAATAATGCCAAAATCCAGATTAATAAACACTCCAGTTGGGGCACCTGCGTGGCTCAGTGGGTTAAGCCTCTGCCTTTGGCTCAGGTCATGATCCTAGAGTCCTGGGATCAAGCCCCCATCGGGCTCTCTGCTCCGCAGGGAGCCTGCTTCCTCCTCTCTCTCTCTCTCTTTCTCTGCCTGCCTCTCTGCCTACTTGTGATCTCTGTCAAACAAATAAATAATAATTTAAAAAAATAAAATAAAATAAACACTCCAGTATACAGTCTCTATACCACATGCCCTAAGCTACTCAATCGTATCACTTTTTTCACAATTTTTTCACTTTTTTTTCCACTTTTTTTCACATTTGCAGGTGAACAGCTGAGCCTCCCCTACTACACACACATCCCAAAATCTAGGGCCAATAAATTTTAGTTTTTATTTATGTGCTTGCTTTCTGTTAAGTCAATAAATTTGAAATAGATTCTCACTACCTCATGAAGTTCTTTCTTACAGCTATTCTTCCCATTCACTGCTAGCTCTTCTCTTTTACACTATTCTAAGAAAATTTAAGCCCTCAATGTGATAAATACTGATTTTTCTGCATCTTGCTTATACTATCACTCCAAGTAGACTGCATGTTCTTTTGAGATCATCTAGCTCAAAATCTCACATATAGAAAATTCTCTCAAATGTTATGATTAGTATTCCAACTCCACTTCCTTTCACAGATGTAAAGCTCAGTAATAATCCAAACCATTCTTTTCCCATGAATTACCTATTCTCATCCGAATAGTGGTAATGAGGTGGGAGAGAGGGAGATTATCAAAAATAAAGAGAATTCTACTTAAACCAGGATGGGCAAGGAGGGGCGGGGGGGATGACAAGTTTGCAGCACAATGTAGCTGGTTCCTTATTCCCAACACCTGAAGAAGGGAGGAAGTAGAAAGGCAAGCCAGGTAGATGAGAGCTTGGATTGCCTTGCACAACTCTGCCCTGGCAACCTGAAAGAGCAGGACTGACAGGTTCCTGAAGGGGCAAATTAGACTTAATCTTAAAGGTATTTTTGTTGACTTCGGTGTTAATGACTGAGAAGTGATTCAAAAATCAAAAGGGGGATGCCAACTGATCCAAATTTCATCGTCATTCTTTCAACTCTTACTTCCTATCGTCTTTCTAGAAAAATTCCAACAGCAAAAGAAAAATGAAGGGATATGTTCAAATTTAATGATGTTGATGAAATGATTCAAAAGCACACACGCATGTGTTTGTTTGTGTGTAAAAATGAAGAGTGACTACAATTAATTACAGGTAAACTGGAAGTTGAAATGGAGGAGTGGAGGGGGAACACTGGGAGATCCGACAAGAGGTGAGATGAGTTGGAAGTTCCCAAACCTCCACAAGTAACAAGGGAAAAATTATTATCTCGTCGGTTTTTTGACCCAACTAGTGTGACTCACCTACCCTAAACTGGAAATTAAAACATAAGCAGTCACATACAAAAATCACTCTCCACACCTGAACAGACTTAAAGTTAAAGCCTGCCTTTCACACTTCCTTGAAGTCTGAAATCCACAAGCTCACTTACAGAATGCAGTGCTAATAAAGTGAATTACTAATAAATCTGAATGAAGCATTTAAGTATGCTTGCTATTTATACAGATATGGTCAGATTTATTTTGAAAAAAATTACAAATATCTATATACTAGATACTGAGGTACATGACAGTAGGAATAAAAAAAAGTTGCCACAGAATATAAACATACAACTGTAGAAATAAAGAGGGAGAAAAAATTTTAATAACTATGGGTCATGCCTGGCTTCATTGAACTCCTCCCAGAGGCCTTCCTCAAACACCACACCTAAAATAAAATAGCTGCCCCTATCACACTCTATTCCTGTATCTGATTTATTTTTCTCACCCAAGTTGCCACTATGGTCCAATATATTATATACTTGCATCTGCTGTTTGCCAACTAAAATGTAAGCTCTATGAGGGCAGAGTTGCTGTCGGTTTTGTTAATCCCAGGGCCTGAAGGCACACAGCTGGCACTCAATAAATGTACTGAATAATAAAAGATGAAAATGAAGTTCAGAGAGGCGAAAGGATTTGCTCAAGGTCAGAGCTAGCAGCAAGCACAGGCCGTACTATAAGGCTGTCTACTCCCTCTTTCCACAGCCACTTCCACTATGCCAAAGCACCCTGTTCCAGCACATGATTCTAGTTAACAGATTTCTCCTCTTCTTTTTTTTAAGTGCCAAAGAAAATACATGTTACCAAAAAAAGTGACACACTGGGTAGCATTTTAACTTCAAGTGTTTTACCAACCAAAACTATACTCAGATTTCATGAGCATACAGGATTAGCCAGTAAAACAGAAAGGCACAGCGACTCAGTTCCTAGTGAAATTGGTATGTGCCTTGAAGTTTTAAGAACAGCCACTGAAACCTACTTAGCAATCCAGAATGGCTAGTAAAGGATCAGCCTCACTTTCTTCTAAGAGCCCACAACAGCTCCTTCCTGGATATACTTTATCTCGCAGATTATGCAAGGAAATGTAACCAACTTTAAAGTCCCTTTTAGTTCCTTTCAAAGTACAAATCAACCTCACAAAACACTGGACATAAAATTAACCCTTGGGAAGTTTCAGATTCTGAGAACAGGAAACCATCTCTGAACCATCACCTGACTGTGATCATCTAGGTCCTTCATTCAAAGTCCATGAATCTGAAATACCTAAAAGAAACGCGGGAGGGGGTAAGGAAGAAGAAAGAGAAAAAAGCATTTACATATATCAAAAAGGAGCTCATATTCCTAATAATACTTTCGCTCAACATCAGCTTCTCGCCTAAAGTCAAGGCCCCACGGACACAACTTCTGTCTTAATCATCTTCCTTTCAGAGAGAGGAGCCAATACCTTTCGCAGGGAACATCTCTAGACACCTACGATGTTACTAAGGCAGAGGATGATTTGCTCGACGTCTCTCACAACTACTGTCAGCCCTATTAGTAAACTGAAAGGGACGACCTAAAATGTGGGACGGCAAAAGAGTTGAAAAGAGACTGAGTTAAGAGTGGAAAGGAGCAGACGAAAAGGAGCGGGGAGGGTAAACAACGCTTCAAGGGCGGGAGTGGGAACCCGGGTCAAGGAAGTGGGGTCAGCGAAAGGCAAAGGTGAAGGGGGTAAAGGGACGCGGTTCAGGATGGGATGGGCAGAGCAAAGGGGGAGGGGACGAGCGGGGGCTGAAGGGTGGGGAGGAGGAAGGGTCCTGGGCGGGGCGGAAGGGACCGAAGAGGCGGGATGAAGAGGGCCCGGCCGGGAGGGTCTTTACCTGCAGCTCCGCCCGCTCTACCTCCCACTGGGCTCTCTCAACCTCGAAGCGGGCCCACTCATGCTGCAGGAAGTGCAGGATCCCAGGGAGGCTGTATTGGGCTCGCGCCGCCCCCGCCGCAGCCGCCCCGTCGCCGGCCGCGGCAGCCTCCGCCAGAGGCCCGAGACCCTTGGCACCGCCGGCGCCCGGGTGGTTGTTGCTGAAGAAGACACCGGGACCCGCCTGCTCGTCCATGGCGGCCGCAGAAACCCCGGGAGCTGCCCAGGCGCCCAGCAGCGGAGGCAACGGCGGCGGCCAGCAGCGCCTCCTCCTGCCTCCGCCGCTCCCCGCCCACACCCCAGTCAGCAGGGAGCAGCAGCCTGGGCGCGGGGGCCGGCCGAGCCCGGGACGGGCCGGGAAATGGGTCAACTGCGGCGCGCGGGCGCCCCGCGGCTTGCTGGGAAATGTAGTCGCGGGGCGTGGCGTCGACAAGCGCGGCCGCGGCGGCCTGTGGGGCTGCCAGCAGCTAAGGCGCGGCCGCAGGTCCGCCCCCCGGCCCGCCCCGGCCCGCCCTTGCCCGCGGCGGTGGGGGCCTGCTGGGCCGGGAGCGCGGGTTTCCTCACCCGCCCGGCGGGCGCAGGCTGGCTGTGCGCCAGTCCCTCTCGCACACGGAAGTTCTCGGGCGGCGCGCCCTGTTGCACACAGACACACACACACACACGGAAGTTGTCGCGCCAAGATACCAGCCCGAGCTGCACATCTTTGAGGGCTTCCTGGTAGCTCTGTTAAGAAGCGAGCTCAAACCGAAGTTCGGCGGTTAGGCTCCTGGACCTGGATCCTCCAGCTGGTTGGAACTCAACCCTTTCCCTTTGGCTCCAACTTCAGTGTTTCTCTGGCCACAGGCACCCCTCAGTTTTGGCAATCTGCTTATCGCTGTCGCTCCTCCCTTTCTTTTTCTCTTGGGGGTTCAAACCTGTTGCCTGATCAGTTTTCACTAATAAGGAGCTCTGATCACCTCTCCTAGACTAATCCCCTTTCGGCTTCTAAATTCTGGGTTGTTGGCACCTCTTCTGAAACCCTGCTACGCCTCAAGTCCCTTTCTCTTGCAGTCAGTCTTGTAGAAGATCCAAATCCTGTGAACTTTCAGATATCCAAGACTGCTATTTTGGTCTCCCTTTTCGTACCTCTTCCCGCGTAGTTTTTACTCAGTTCCACTCAACAAATATTTGATTGTCAGTTATTTCTGTCGCTGGGGATATAAAGATAAATGACACAGTTCCTGTCATCAAAGGGAGATTGGCAAGTATATAATCAATTCTCACAGCGCCTTAAATCAACACCACCTGAAAGAACAAAGTCCCTTTCTCTTCCCCAGAAGTCTTAGGTATCCAGGTACTTCTCCCTTTCCCCCTGTCCCAGTTCCAGTTGCTGTCGCGGTTCACCTGCAAACCCACAGCAATATTAGCCTACCAAAGACACCGAAGTCCTTTCAAGGGTTTCTCGTAAATATTATCCTTCAACGTCTCTGAAATTATGCCACTATAAATTCACAGTACAACAATAATGAAAGGAAGGCACCTGAAAAAAATTAACAAATGAAAGTGAAATGAAGCACTTATCTTGTCCTCATAACAAGTTATTAGTAATTCTTTTGTGGGATGGACTTCTGGAATATCAGATGTGATGGTCGTGAAAAAAATTTAAAGATTTAGGCTGGTTATTGACATGCCAGGGAAGGACATCCTGTTCCTATCCTTCCCCCACCAACCCCTCCCTTCCCATGGCTACTTGTGGAAAGGACAGGAAACACACTGTATCTGTCCTGGTTGCAAATAAAGATGGCAAGCTCTCTTTTCTCACTTATTGAATGTTTCTACTTCATGAATTCATTCTTTATTATAATAAAAGTTTGATCCAGGCTTGGCCAAATTCCTTGTGTCATAAATTAGTTTGGCTGTAAGTGTCCTTTGAGACACTGCCCAGTCCTCTCATTTTACAGCTTAAGAAACTTAAGTGCAAAGCAGTTGAGACTTGTCCACAATGAGGCTTTGAGTAAATGGCACAGCCAAAACTAGAAACCAGAATCCCTGACTGCTAGTTCATTGATCTTTCCATTAACACGTTGCTTCCTTTCTTACTTATCAAAACTACCAGAATACCAAAAGGAAGATAATGCCACAATGGCATATGTTTTTCATCCAGAAGATTTAAGAACTCCTACAAGTTGTGAATGTTAAAAGGTTTTTCTTTTTTTTTTCTCTCTCTCTAATAAAGACATGTCTAACAATTCCCTGAAATAAATTCATAACACACTATAAAACATAATTAAATTTAATGATAGCTATTTAAGAACCTGTAAGTCATTTACCTAGATGACCAAGAAAGAAAGAGGACTCAAATAAAATCAGAAATGAAAGAGGAGATACTATAACTGTTATCACAGAAGTACAAAGGATCATAAGAGACTACTATAAACAATTATACATTAACAAATTGCACAGCCTAGAAAAAATGGTTAAATTCCTAGAAACGTACAACGTATCAAGACTGAATCATGAAGAAACCCAAAATCTGAATGGACTGATTACTAGTAAGGAGAAATAGTAATCAAAAACATCCCAACAAACAAAAATCCAGGACCAGATGGCTTCACTGGTGATATCTATCAAACATTCAAAGAAAGATTGAAAAGAAACATTACCAATTCCTCTCAAACTCTTCCAAAAAATAGAAGAGGAGGGAAATTTTCCAAACTCATTTTATGGAGCTAGCATTATCCTGATACTAAAACCAGATAAGTTAGCCAAAATATATATATATATATATATATATATATAGGCCAATATCCTTGATGAACAAAAATCATTGACAAAATATTAGCAAACCTAATTTAACAATACATTAAAAGGATCACACACCATGGTTATGTGAAATTTATTCCAGGGATGCAAAAGTAGTAACTGATTAACACTGTAAATCAATAAATGTGATACACCATGTTGACAAAATTTGACAAAATTCAACATCCATGTATGATTAAAAAAACAACAACACTCAACAAGGCAGATATAGAGGGAATGCACCTCAACATAATAAAGGCCATCTACAATATGACAACAACTAACATTATACTTAATGGTGAAAAACTGAAAGCTTTTCCTGTAAGATCAGGAGAAAGACATGGAGGCCTACTCTCACCAGTTTTATTCAACATAGTACTGGAAATCCTAAACAGAACCTTTAGGCAAGAAAGAGATATAAAAGGCATCCAAATCGGAAAGGAAGAGGTAAAACTCTCACTATTTGCAGACTTCATGACATTATATATATAGAAAACCCTAAATACTCCATCAAAAAAAATTAGAACTAATAAATGAATCCAGTAAAGTTGCAGGATACAAAATCAATATGCAAAAATACGTTCCATTTGTATATGCTAATTATGAACTATCAGAAAGAGAAATAATTAAAACAATCCCAGTTACAATTGCATCAAAAAGAATAAAATACCTAGGAATAAATTTGACCAATGAGGTGACCTGTGTACTGAAAGACCTGTATACTGAAAAATACCAGATGTTAAGAAACTGAAGAAGACATAAATAAATGGAAGGCTATTCCATGCTTAGGGATTGGAAAAATTGATATTGTTAAACGTCCATACTACCCAAAGCAATCCACAGAGTCAATGCAATCACTATCAAAATTCTAGAGGCACTTTTCACAGAAATAGAACAAACAATCCTAAAATTTGTATAGAACAATAAAAGACCCCAAATAGCCATAGCAATCTTGAGAAAGAAGAGCCTCAATTTTATTCCTCACTCTACAATTATCCAAATCTAGGAATCTTGGACAGACAGTTTAACATTTTTTAGTCATAATTCTGTCATTTTTACTATAAGAACAATATTTACTTAATAAAGTTACCATGAAGATAGATGAGAGAGGTGGCTCAGTCAGTTAAGCATCTGCCTTTGGCTCAGGTCATGATCCTTGGGTCCTGGGATCCAGACCCCACCATCAGGCTCCCTCCTCAATGAGGAGTCTGCTTCTCCCTCTACCCTTCCCCCACTGCGCGTGCGCCTGTGTGTGTGTGTGTGTGTGTGTGTGTGTGTGTGTTCTCTCTTTCAAATAAATAAAATCTTAAAAAAAAAAAATCAGATGAGGGAAAAATGTTAAGTCCCTTAGCATAGTGCATGACATATAGCATAAACAAAATAATGATAGCTATTATTGTAACAGAGTTCACAAGACTAACTGAATAACACAGAAGAATCATAAATATTGGGGGCTCAATAATTGTTCTTTTTTTCTTTCTCATCCCCATCCCCTGTTTAGAACTTTAATTCAGCATAGTTAAAATAATATTTAAAAAATTAATGTCTATGCCTTGCCATTAAGCTTCAGACTTTAAGGTGTTGCTGATTTCCTGATCATTTCATTTTATAATTAATAAAACCTGTGACACAAAAAAATAAAGTTTCCTTTCCAAGCACAGAGAGCAGCTATCTAAATGTTTTATGTGTCAGTATAACCAGTTTAAAGTGAAAAATAGTGAAAGGCTAAACGGTTATTTAGATAATTGGAGTGTTTGCTCTTTTTTGGTTTCTCTGGGTGTGTTTTGTGGAATGGGAATTATAGTTCCACAAAATAACAAGTCATCCGCTTTCTCTCTCTCTCTCTCTCTCTCTTTTTTTTTTTTTCCCAATAAAATGAGTGGCTCTTTAAACAAAACAAAACAGGGGTGCCTGGGTGGCTCAGTCATTGGGCGTCTGCCTTCTGCTCAGGTCATGATCCCGGGGTCCTGGGATCCAGCCCCGCATCAGGCTCCCTGCTTGGCGGGAAGCCTGCTTCTCCCTCTCCCAGTTTCTCTGCTCATGTTCCCACTCTTGTTGTATCTCTGTCAAATTAATAATAAAATCTTTGAAAATAAATAAATAAAATAAAATAAACAAAACAAAACCCCTGTCCCGGGTTCCCTGGCTGGCTCAGTGGTAGAACATGTGACTCTTCAGACTTGTGATCTCAGGAGTCTTGAGTTCTAGCCCCAGGTAGGGTGTAGAGTTTACTTTAAAATTTTTTTTAATTGAAAAAAAAAAAAAAAAAAACCTTCTCCAATGACCAGTGATTGGGGTCTTTGACTTTTTAACTGCTCCAAGAAAAGTCTTCAAATTGAACTTCACAGCTCTTTTCAGAATTCTGGGCAGAGAACAGAGAGTGGAAGGCTTGAGTGGAGCTAGGCCTCCGCTGGC